TTTAGTCGCACGTCAGAGATGTAAGTTTGAAGTAGAAAAAACGAAAACATCAGTATAGTAACGGGTGAACCTTTCCGCAAAAATTTCAGAGCCGGGAAATTTACTTTTCAATTATGGCGAGATATGGGCACTCGTGTGGGATTCGAGTCCTTACTTATGCTGCCCTCGCTTGTTGTTTCTCAACCAGCTTGAATGCTTGTTTATGCCAATATGTTTCATCGGCGTTCTTTCGTCAAGGGCAAAGATGACAAGTGGTTGACGTGATCCTAAAAGTACACATCAGATCAGATCACAAAGTACCGTCACTTCATTATTAGCTCTTTGGTGTCAGTTTTCTACAAAAGGCAAAACTTCACATCAGATGGCTACTGTATGTTGTGGTCTGAGGGCATGAAACATCCACACTATAATCCTTACCATTGCGGCCACGTTTGACCGTTACAAATATTGGTGTCACCTGAAGAAGCATCCGGAAATCTCGGGTCAAGTTTCGGATGCAAAAGACATAGAGCAAGATCAACAGAACACGTTAAGCTTATTATAATTCCTCCATAAAAGGCCAGGACACGCATCGAAGTCTGCCGAGGGCTTCCAATTTGTTTTCGTATCAGCCTTCAAAAGTGAAGAAAAATGACTGACGGTCGGGAATGTGCCATCGAAAAATATGATGGAGGTCCTCCTTGTCCTATAAATCCTTAACTCGATCCTACCACAGCTTGTAGGTCCAATCCTAGAGGGATGTAGCTCAGATTGAAAAATTCTCGACTATGTTTTTTCCGTTTTTCGTTGTGATGGATGACTTAGCGGGAGTGGCCCGAATTGTGCACCAATAACTCATTACGGTTCTGAATAGAAGTCGAGGAACAAGGCGAGCCTAATACAACTTCCATTGATTAAAATGACGATGTTCTCCGATTTGTGTATTTTTTCAAGGAGTAATATGATTTTGCAGATATGTGGTATGTATGATAACGGCACCAATTTATGATATGATTCATACCGTCTTTGTAGACGTTATGGCTGCAGTTAATATTCTCATACTTGCCTGCTATTTAGTGCTAATATGTTTGCTGAAAAAAGCGCAATTGAGTAAGTTTCTAAATTAATTTTTATGCATATTCCATTCCCAGTTGATTTGAAAGTAGTTTTTTTGAGTTCAAAGCTACAGAAAAAAGTTGAGTGTAGTTCTTCATATAAACTTATATGAAAGACTCCCAGTTCTCAGGCTGTCTTTCTAGTTTAGTTTAATCATCCACAACTTTCAGGTCAAGAGAACTCGAAGCAAATCCATCGTTCCCTCTTGGTCATAAGCTTAACAACAGTATTTGGCTGGTTTAGTGCGATGGTACTTGCTGTGGTCGACATTGTATTCAGTCTAAACATTGAAAAATCCAACAAAATGCATTCTGACCTTTTTGCTGGGTTTTTCATAAATTTCGCATGTGCGACAAACTTTTTCGTCTATTACTCTATCAGGTGGGCCATTCCTGTTTAATATTTCAGATTCAAGTTAGTGAACTACTACTGCGTTTGGCTCTTTAAAAAACCCCCAATTCAAACAAATCACAAAAGCGCAAGGAATTACGGGGCATAGCGTTCTGATGAAGAAAGGCTGTTCATGAAAGCGGTACTATTGTGCGAATAAAGTCTTGACGTGAATAATAGCAATGGTGAATTACGAGTTACAGATCTCTTTTAACAAAGATTCCCTCTAAACGCATTTCTAGGCTCACGGGAATGATATAATTACCCAAACATGGCAATTTTCAGTACAATGTATCGCCGTGCATTCGACGAATATCTCTTCATTGGATGCTTCAAAAGAGCGTTGGATTTTGAACGCTATTCTACCAGCCACGCATGGGCTTCAGCTCGACGAACCTAAAGGATTTTAACTGAGCAATGTGATTTAACTTGATTTTGGCACTGATAAGAATCTTGAACGGAAGCAACTATAAAAAGAAATAATGTGTTGAGAAATTGCTCGTAACAATTACTCACCAAGCGACCTCCTCTAGTCCCCTCCTCTGTCCTCATTCTGTTATGAGTGTGATACATATAAGTGGTGGGTTATATACACGTATATGTATGCGTTATTATCATAAAGAAAATTCGCTGCGATACACCATCAGCTGGATCCTCGCGATCCTATAATTTGATACAAAATATGAAAAGAATGCGGAAAACTAATATGCCGAATACTGTTTTTTCTAACTGGATATATATTTACGTGTAAATAATTTTTCTGGAAGTTTTGGTATCATTTGCAACCCCGAAAAGACTTTTTCTGTCAACGATTTGTAATTTGGTCTAGAGAAACTTAATTGTGGTGTTTCAAAATACGCGATTCAAACTTGAAAAATCCACATTAATTCTTTGAATGTTTGCGAATTCTGATTTCACAATGGGGTTTCTAAAAGGAGCGCTTTCTGCAATTTTTTTAAGATTCTGAAACAAAGAAAGTGGCATGTAGTTAGCTACCTCAACTGTCACTTTTTCAAGAAACTGCTCTTTTCGAGTGAATAGCCGCTTAAATCGTGATAAATAAGGTGCTGAAGCTTTTTGTGACGTTCTTCTTTCTTAGCCTAGTTTCAGGGACACTGCTAGTGAGCTCCCGTAACTGAAGATTTCTCAACCACGAGTTTCGGCCGATCAGAAGACACAGAACACGTACAATAGCATGCCAAGCTTTAACCCAATCTGTTCGCAGCATGATGGATTGGGCTACTGCTTGGAGAACACCTGTAAACTTTACGAAATTGTCTATACTTCATTTAGGTAAAGCCACAATCGATCCATACATACTTAACGACATTTCGCTAAATGCTTCATACAACTTCGCGACCTTGGGTTTCTTATCAATTCCAACTTGGACAATTCGCACCACATCTATGTAGTCGTTCGAAAAGCTTTCGCAGCACTTTTCGCTATTCTAAGAAATGTTTGGTGCAACGATGCCTCAATTTCGATAAGGCTCTATAAGGCATATGTTGTTCTCATACTCGAATACGTTCACAGATATGGAACCCTTATACCAAGAGCCTTCAGGCAGAAACTGGAAAAGTTCAACAAACTTTCACGGGAATATTAAGGTATAGATGGCCTCCTGACAACAAATCCACGCGTTCTCTACCAAACTATGATGACCGCCTAAAAGGTTTCGGTCTTAAAATCTTATTGTACAGAAAAGTACTCAATGGTACAGTATTCTGTTTTAAAATGCTGAAAGGTGAACTCAAGCTACGGCCGAGTAAGTACTGGGTAATCAGACCGTGCAGAGGTCGTACCACTTCGTTATCTCTACAAGGCCCTAAACTGAATAGAAATCATAGAGCCTGTGTATTTTATTCGTTTTTCTTTCGTGGAGCGAGATGGCTTCAGCTTTTACCATTAGAACTGCAAAAGGTGCAAAAACCGATGCGTTCAAAAAGAAAATGAGGAAGTTAGACCTTAATGCTTTGTTAGGCATGCAGGATTTCTAGACGTGTACAGCCTAAAGAGTACCCTCTTGTGGGTATGGTTTCTCTCAGTGTGCTTTTTTTTGACTTTTTCTGCATTTGAGGTTTGTAACTGTTTTGTCTCTCTTTGGCTACTGTAGCGCACATTTGTGTGTGTTTTGAATAATAAGTAAATAATAAATAAATAAACAATTGCTTAGCAACTACAAACTAAGGAGTACAAACGTTGTTGGTTTTGCTATCTTACTGCAAAGGAATGATAGTTAAATGTGATTTTACAGGAAATTCCTAATGACTGTAAGAAGCTACATGAAGTTGGGTTCATGCAGCTTCTTACAAACATTTTGCATGAGCCCAAACAGTTTTTATAGTAGAAAATGTGGGCCTGATTTATTCGTGTTTTACGCACTATGTTGGAGGACGCGCAATCATCCATCGTGTTTTGCTGTTTTTTCGAGCCATCTGAAACCGATTTACCATCTATCCTGCTCGCAGCCACTGTCCCTACCTTTAACGATCAAGAAAAGGTACCCATCCAGTAGTGATTGGTAATTATTTAGTAATCTCTTTGGAAGTGTTCACTTGATTTTCCACTCTTATCATAATGCTCTTTATTCATTATTGCAGTTCAAAACGTTGAACCCTCATCGTAAACGTAGAGTTGAGTTCTGTTCATTGCTTGNGTCAATCCTTTTTGTATCGAAGGTTGTAAGGTAAGGTGCACTGTGTAATACCCGTATTACGGATTACAGAGGTTTGTGTACTGGCTATTCATTGTTAAACCGAAAGCTACTCACTAACTCATAATACACAATTGAATAATGTCCACTTTCGTCCCTGCAATAGCGATTCAAATCGGTGGTCGAATCAAATCAAAGGCACATTCCACGTTGAAAATGATTTCTGAGATTCCTACCTAAGATGAACCTGTGACCCTCAAGGATAGCCTGAGGGACCCTGTTGGGTCGAAAATCAGTCAAGACAGGGCGTAATAGGGGTCCCGAAACCGGCTTAGCCGACGTACGCATCCGAGACGTACGATTTGTTAAGCGTTGTAAAAGCTGTAGAGGTTGTACCATTGCGCCCACAACTTGTAAGAAGGCAGCACCCAGTTGTATGCAGTGGCTTGTCCGGATACCTCTTCCGTGCAACTTCTGTTTTCTCATCCATTCTCCATTCTCCATTCCATTCACATTCTCATCCAACCCCCAATTTTATTTCTTTTTTGAAGCCTTGTACATGTCTACGGACGCTGATTTTCGCGTTTTCTTCGTCACTTTTGTACTATCTTGGACTATCATTTCCATATCCCGTCTAAAACTAGGTAACCCACAATTATCATGAACTTTGACTGTGACCTGTGCTTTTGGAATACATCAGCAGCTCAAGCGGAAGCTGAACGGGTACCTTCCTTGTAACCTTGCAGAGGTTGTTTCCCACAAGCATGTATCCTTGCAAATTCAGAGCTTTTCACACATAAGTTAAATGCCACTTTTTTCCAGCGAAATTACTGTTTTGCATTGATCTCGGTAATCGGCTGCAATGTTTATCACAGGTTTCAATGAAAATCGCGCCTCCGCCTTCAGTAGAGTACCAGAAATAGTATCGCTAACAATTCTTGTAATCATAAGTGGTTGGTTTGTCAATGAAATTCCTAAAAAGCTGAGAATTCCTGTGTTAATATAGCGCTTCTTTACAGGATGTTCCAAAGAGCTCTGCCTGTATTCTATCAGGTATTTTACATTGTCATGCCAACTATAAGTTTGCTTGGGAACGCATCAATTGTGTACGTAACCGTACGTTCATGGTCAGTTAATGCTCCCAGACAATTGTAATTCGTAGTTGTATATCTTTTTTCGTAGCAAACCTGATCCCCTTTTTCTTGAGGTCTCTGCGAAATCCATGCAATATTCTTATCGGATCTATGGCTATGGGTGAACTTTTGCATATGCTTGGGCATTATGTTATGATTGGATCGCTTTACATGTGAGTTTAATTACTCGAATTAAAACATTGTCTAAAAGTGTTGGCGTTTTCTCGAGATTGATTTATATGCTACTTCTATGTATAAGATACTCGATCAAAACACAGGCTTTATCAGTTTTCCTTCGTTTCTGACTCGTGCAATTTTCCTGGTTTACCAGCGTTCCATCGATATAACCGTGTTTCCTGGCTGAATGTAAAGATGCAGATTATATGTATGTGTTCAGAATATGAAATAATCGTTTGAATTGTGGCTGTACGTTGAATAGTGTTATGGAAGCTGAGCTCTCTTTTCGCTTTTCAGGAATGGTAACAACTTGATGAGACAAGATCTTTGTGTTTACTGGCAAACGCTCCCAACATTGGGCATGTTCTTCTCCGCTATAGTGCTCGTCAATGTTGCTATCGATAGATTGATGTCTACGCAGATATTTTAGTATGAACATCGACCTTTGTTAAACTTTTCATCCTAGATGAAAACTCAGGAATGAAAGATTCCAAAAACTGGAAAGAGAAAAATTTCCATCGATTCAAATGACAAATTTCACATATGTGACATAGTAGATCCAAAAGGCAGCAGCTTGAACGGTAGCCAGTTGTCATGTACTTTACCAGAATCCCCGAATGGTATCAAAAATCGTCAGGATTCAATGAGATTACAAGGTCGTCGAAACTATGTCATCCGCGTTCCTTACATATGCCTCCGAATACTCTTGGTCCTATTCCGCACCCCTCCTCCTGCAAAATTTATTTCGGTCGTCCAAATCTATTGGACTAAGTGTGATTAGAGAGCTTGTGTTGATATTGTTTCAGCAACTCATTTATAACAACTTACTACGCTCCCTATATTTTCATTCATATTGCTTACGGAATTGCTTTATCAATCAGCATCGATGTTGCGATCTTTTTCAGCCGTACATCAGAGCTGTAAGTTTTATGCACAAAAAAAATTTAATGGATAGTTACAAAACTACAGGAAGAATGAGAGATTGCTGGTGACACAAGTGAATGAAAATGACTCTGATAAGGAGGAAAATGGGCTCCATGAAAGCGAACTAGAAGTATCTTCATTTCTAAACACAGTACGAACGCATTTCTCTCGAGTCTTAGCAGAAAGTTAGCAAGGAAACTTTGCTCGGCGATCTTTCTGGGCTTTGCTTTGTATTCACGCTTTTCAATATGTCCTACTATACAACGTCGCTCATTTCGCATCATTCACTACACAAGCCAGCAGGAACGTTTATAAAGCTAGCTGCTGGCGTTCAGGCTTCTTATAAGATCAACTCTTATGCATTGCCGTGATGATAATTTACACTAGTTCTTCTCTCCTTCTATCTCCTCTTTGAGCTGACTGCCGTGCACCAAGCGCAAATCGTATGCCCTCTGATAACAGCGACATCTGTCAAGAATCGCGAAATAGCGCGCTGCGTGCGACGGGTGCAGCGCGACCTCGTGTCTGCGGACGCGCGGAATGAAGCACACTCGAGTACTCTTGTTATGAATTTAGTGGTGGAGGGACACTCTCGTATATTCGAAGGTGGCAAACTCCACATTTCTGAAAAATTCTAAAAGGGCAGTGCACGTAGATGAATAATGGAAGTGATAGTCCAGAGTAGTGCAAATGTGGCGAAGAAAGGTGAAAATAGGCGTATTTGGAGAATTGAAAAGTCTCAAAATGCTAGTAGAATTAGGGGCAGCACAAAAATGTGACGAAAAGTCGCATGGAAGAGGTACATAGACGAGCTGCCCAAACGTGTTTCGTCTACTACTCTATCAGGTTAACAACTCTTCACTTGCAATTTCGTTTAGGTCTGATAAAATCTGTATACCTAGGTTGTTAAATATTTCATCAGCGCCAAGTTGTCGCCATTTATGAAAATGTGGGCATACATACACACACGAAAAACCATCCGAAATCATTAATAAAGATTCTCGAATTTCTAATACTTTGCAAAATATTGTCGCATCTTTTGAACTGCTTCTGTTGGTGTGAGGACGAGTATGTAATTAATTTGATGTTTTGCTCATTTATTTATTTTTAGGAGATTTGAAAGATGGTGAATAATCAAATAATCATAAAATATATAGGTTCGGTTCCAAGTCCTGTGTCATATATGAACGTAGGAAGTGTTCTTACAACCTAGCCACCCTAACCAAAAAAATTCTCCAAAATCGATTAATTGCTGGTAAAGTAATGTGAGGGAATAAATGCACTAAAGTTTTTAAATTAGATGACTATGTATTCAGTACCATTAGGAAGCGCCAGTCAATATCAATTTCCAGCACGATGTACCGTCAGGAGTTTGACAAATATCTCTTCGCTGGGCTCTTCAAGAAAACAAAAAATTCCGAACGCACTCCTACTTTCGGACTCGAGCGCCCCTTCCCTTGGGCTACACCACGTCATTCTTAGATCAATCTGATCAACTCTCAATAACTACGAATATTCATGAACAATGCAATGTATGGTATGCAATTGATTCAGCACTCATCAATGTTTGGCAATAAAGTTGATTAATACACTGCCGTGCATGTTAACATGTGGATATATAACTGGTTACTCGCATAGTTAATCACAGTAAATGTACCAGTGCTTTGTTAACAATTGGGATATTACAAGAACAGGAAAGCTCAAGGTAGTTAAGAGGAAGTATAGACTATAGAGGAAGAGGGGGAAATCAAGAATAGGTAAGACAGTGTAGAATCACGGAGAAAATATAGGTCCATCATTAACCTTTGTAACATCCAGGGTGCGCTATAAATATGGTAACGAAAAAATTAGCCCCCAGAAAGCGCAATTCACATTGATACATGGTGACTTTATTTGAGTTATTTACTATGCATCCCATCTACAAAACGAACACACGGTCATCTTATATGACCGTTTCCAGTACTAATTATAGTTCGAAGACGCTTCGGCTACTCATCGACTTTGACACGCAGAGTTACTTGAAAAACTCGGCCCAAACTTTTTTCGACGATTTTTTGGAGCAGCAACAGTAGTGCGTTTCGAAGCGCAGACTCTCATCTCCACTGTGGACTATATCCAGCAACCCATGACTTCGTGACTCGGGAAATTTGTAGGAGGATTGCAAGCTGGGATAAAGTCGCGAACCTTCCTCAGCACCAGTCTTGATTTTTTCCACTCGTGAGCAGGTGCGTCGCAGTCTTCATATCGTATCCCTCCAAAAGTTCAGGCCCTCAGCTGCATTCTTCCAGAAAAAACCCCCTTCTTAAAGAGGTTCGGATTAAGTTTTGCACTTTTCTTGACCAAAATTTGCGATGTCGCTGTAATGGTAGAGTTTCTAAACCAAGCCATAATAAAAGAGGAAAAATTGCTAGGAGAGGCGATTTGTCTCTTTTCAGCGGCTTCTGCACTCGTAGTGTGGAATATACGTATACTTTGAAATCTCAACATTTCTTCAAGGCTGAACAACCTTTAGTGAGAAACAAGAGTGGCGAAGCGCGTGTCGCGCGAAAGTAGAGCACGGCGTTTGTTTTTTCTCTCCAACTTCTTCACATCAAGAAGCTTATAGAGCTTCTGAATTCTATTGTAATACAGTCTTTTTACTCGGGGTAGACTTCTCTCATTGGAGTAGAACATACAAACAAATCAGCAGCCATTTTTCTCTTGTGTCTGTGAGACAAGTGTCGTGTGTCTGTGTCTGTAATGTGAGACAAGACGACCGTTTTGAAGTTTGTCGTTGTCCTGTCTATCCATCGCGTTTCAAGAGACTGTCATTCGGGAAACCTGGAGACGAGGAGCGATCCCGGAAAAGAACTCACCAAATGCGCCCACAGACAGAATGGTTGGTGGATGTCTGCGAGGCTATGCCGTTTCCAAAAACTGACGAATTGAGAGTACCAAAGTAGATATGTGGGCTAAGATTTATCATAAATATAAGGGACGGTGCAGATTTGGAGAAACCCTACAAACAAGGAAATTACGGACGTTCGAGAAGTTGTTACCGTTAGTTGTTTTATGGCCCTGTATATGTACATATTTCTTTCGCTTACGGTCTTTCAACACAGCACCCCTAACAAAAGTGATTTTTCCAAGAAATGGCAAGTCATGTGAGAGAACAACTAATTATTCAGTCTCACTGAGAAACACCTACTATAATAATATCGATTTATGTTGTACCGTCGGGAACTCGGTAGATATCTCTTCATTGAGTTTATCAAAAAGGTAATAAAATCCGGACACACTCGTTCTATCAGGCTCAAACGCTCTTACCTTTGGGCCACGTCCTCCTTAAATTAAGGATCAAGGCAATAAAGTTGAATAATATACTGCTATGCGTGTTAAAGAGTGAAGGACAAAGTTTTTTGGACCTTAATCAATCCTATCCGAGGGAGGCGCCCCAGCATTAGACTTCCATTCAGAACCGCAGTGGCGTAATAAATTCATTGTTGCCTATACAATGGGTTGCGGTGGCCAGCCGTTGTACAAGTCAGTGTTTTTATCCTCCCAGACCGGTCTGGTAGTAATTTCTCCCCAACAGAACTGTGATCTTCCTTGTGAAAGACATCGGTGTAACTATTAATAATGGTTTCAAATCCGTTATTAGGTTGAACGATCCTCCATAAACCCTATTATAAACACCTCTAGACCTACCAGCGTTTTCAAAGCGAATGTCGAATTTGGCGAGAAAAGTAACCCTCATATTTTCGTAGACATGCCAAGGTTTTGCCTCAAGACTTCACTATACGCTGTCATGGATAGTAAACGCTAATGTGTTTGCATGTTCAGATAGCGATGTACTGGGATTATGAGACACCTCTCGAATTTATGTCGACACATCTTTTAGAAAATTTAAATGGGTTAGCTAATTTATTCATTTGAGAGAATATTAGATTTTTCACACGTGTTTTCTTCTTCCGGCTAGTCATGGGTCGTTTCATAGGAATGACATGAGTAGGAGGTATGACGCTGACTTTGAGGTGTAACTGCTCAACGTATAATGCGCAACCTAGGTTACTGTAGGGTATGTAACATTTTTCTCCTTCTATTTTACTCAATAAGTTTCCAGGTCAGTTTCCTTCTCAAAGCTCCAGTACCTCAGCATTTGCCTCACATTCTNAATCTTCCATCTCTCGCTGGTACCAGACCCATCTGTGAAGATAAAAAGCACTAACTTGTACATCGGCTGGCTACGCAAGTCATTGTATAGGCCCAATACCCGTTCTATACGTCACTACGATTCTGAATGGAAGTCGAATGCCTGGGCGCATCCTTCATAAGGGATTGATTGACGCTCCAAGACTTTATCCCTTATCCTTTATCTCTCCGTAGTCGGTTGACTAGTGAAAGGCTCGTCTAGAAAAATAAAATGTCTGAACATTGCCTTGCAATTCATTGTGCAAGTCTCAAACGCACTCGATACGTCACTACGACTCCGAATGCGACTCGAATGCGGGAGCGCATCCCTCAGAT